AGAAATGATCTAACAGGGAAAGGGGTGGAAAAGATCTTAGGGAGGACAGGGAGAAGATCTGGGGGAAAAAAGGCCAACAGGGAAAGCGGGGAAAGATCTAAGGAAGGAAAAGGGAGAAGCTCTCAGGGGGGGGAAAGGCCTGAGGGGGGAAAGGGTGGGAAGGATCTCAACAGGCGAAGGGGGGAAACAATGTTAGAAAGGAAAAGGGAGAAGATCTGGAAAGGCCTTAAAGGGAATGGGGGAAAGGATCTCAACAGCGAGAGGGGGCAAAGGATCTCATAGGAGGAAAAGGGAGAAGCTCTCAGGGGGGGGGAAAGGCCTTAGGGGGGGAAAGGGGGAAAGGGATCTCAGCAGGGAAAGGGGGGGGGGAAAGATCTTAGGGAGGAAAGGGGGGAAAGGCCGTAGGGGGGAAAGTGGGGGAAAGGGAGGAAAAGGGAGAAGATCTCAGGCGGGAAAAGGCCTTAGGGGGGAAAGGGGGGAAAGGATCTCAACAGGGAGAGGGGGGAAAACATCTTAGGGAGGAAAAGGGAAAAAATCAGAGGGAGAAAAGGCCTTAGGGGGGCAAAAATCTTAGAGGGGAAGGGGGCAAGGGGACAACTGCAAAGGGACGCACATAAGAAAGCAGGCCAGTAATGTCGGCGGCCTGAGCCGGAGGCGTTAAAATATACACACATATATATATATATACATGTATATATATAGTTTCAAAAGGTGGAGCCTATATAAATATACTAGACACACACATATATATATATACATGTATGTATATAGTTCCAAATGGTGGAGGCTATATAAATATATTAGACACATATATGTATATATATATATATATACATGTATATAGTTCCAAATGGTGAAGGCTATATAAATATATTAAACACACATATATATATATATACATATACATGTATATATATAGTTCCAAATGGTGGAGGCTATATGAATATATTAGACACATATATATATATATATGTATTCATGTATATATATAGTTCCAAATGGTGGAGGCTGTATAAATATATTAGACACATATATATAAAAAAACATGTATATATATATAGTTCCAAATGGTGGAGGCTATATAAATATATAGACACACATATATATAAACACACATGCATATATATAGTTCCAAATGGTGGAGGCTAAAAAAATATATAGACACACACACATACATATATATATATATATATACACATGTATATATATAGTTCCAAATGGTGGAGGCTATATAAACATATAGACACACATTTTTATATTTGTATATATATATACATACATGCATATAGTTCCAAATGGTGGAGGCTATATAAATATATAGACACATATATATATATATACACATGTATTTCTATATATAGTTCCAAATGGTGGAGGCTATATAAATATATAGACATATATATATATATACATGCATGTATATAGTTCCACATGGTGGAGGCTATATAAATATATAGACACATATATACAGATATACATGTATATATACATATATATAGATATAGTTCCAAATGGTGGAGGCTATATAAATATATAGACACATACATAGATATATATATATATACATGTATATATATGCATATTTCCAAATGGTGGAGGCTATATAAATATATACATATATATATATACATGTATATATATACAAATATAGTTCCAAATGGTGGAGGCTAAATAAACATATAGACACATATATATACATACATATATATATATAGTTCTAAATGGTGGAGATTCCTCGACCAGCTTCCTCACAAGTTCGTGGCTTGGATTGGGGGCTTGGCATTTGGGCTGATTTCCCATCTGCCTGCAACCAGGTGTTCGAATCCAAAGCAATCCAAAGCACCAAGCTTGAGGGTTACCTGATTGAACGATACCAATGGAAGCTGGGTTGAAGCCTTTCCTTTGGAGAACCCATCTGTCCACGTCCATTCAGTTGGAAAGAGGTTACATCCGAAAACCACCTGCTTTCAAGGGGATCCGGGTTGTTGAGATTTTTCCCCAGGCCCCGTATCCCTTGAGGAAACATGTTGAAAGGAGCCAAAGGAGACAAATCCCAGCTGCCCACCCCGACAAAAGAAAGCACAAGGCGCACTTTGTCCAAAACATCACTCTCCCTCAAACCATTAAAACAACAATCGAGAGTAGTGTCAGCCCCGGCACGCCCCCGGAAACGGAATCTCCGAAACCCTCCTCTCTCAGCTGCCCCAAACCGCCCCTCATCGCGCTGTCTGGGCCTATTGCCCATAACTTTCAGCTGGGGAAAACACAACACAAACACGCCGTGCGTCAAATTGGGTGTCTTGTTTGTGGCTAGCCCCTTTTGGAAAAAAAAGAGAAGGAAACAACACAAGAGGAACAAACTGGGCTGGCATGGGCTGGCCCCAGATCCCGGGCTGAAAGTTTAACTTTTAGTGGGTTAAATGCAAACTGCCACTAAGCACCAAAAAGCTAAAAGGCTAAGGAACCGGATGGCTGGGAGCCATTCAGTAAACATGTGCCATCAGTTGCCATCGACTCTGGCGCTAGCCCAAGCTTCCGTTCGTCGAGCACTAGGCGCTTTTGCCAGCAGCCGTGGTGCTCATCGTTGAAGAACTTTCGCAGCAGGAAGCCAATCCTGGCTCCTTCCTGGCAGGCTCCACTTGTGGCTCGAAAAATCCAAGCCCAGGTGAGTCGCAATGAAAACCTGGTACTAAAATGGTCGTAACCCCAGAACCATGTCCAGGATTAAGAAGGCGGATATCCGCAGCTTTTTTTTTGCTGGGATCGTCCCTTACTAACCTTCTACCCAGGTTTTGAGCACGTGGCTCAGGCAGGTGATATCCCCAACCGCCTCCCGGAGGGCGGACTATATACCTGAAAGCTGCAAATCATCCCAAGGCCTGTCTGCGCCAACTTTTTCCCCCCATGACGCGGCGCGAAGGACCCGAAGAAATGCCGGGCAAGCCTGGCCTCCTAGGAGTGGTACTTTGTGAAGCCGAGAGATGCTTTTGCTGGACAAGTCAAGCGTCTCCAGCCGTTAGCTTTCCAAAAAGCAAGCCATGTGCGAGTTGAATCTATTAACTCCCTTTTGCTGAAGCACCTTGGAACCCTTAAAGATATCTTTTTAGCAGGAATCCTTTTTGGCCCCATTTTTGTTTCCAGGGTTCTTGCCACCCAATTCAAGGACACCCAATGGTTGGTTTCCTTTTGCCGTGCCCAAACGGGCGGTTAGGTGTGTCTGGAAATATAAAACATACATTCGTCCTCAATTGAATTTGGTTTGATCTGCAAATGAAATTCTATGGGGCTATTAGGTTTAGCACCCAATCGCTTTGTCTGAGTTGGGAACTCTTGCTCTCCAATTGTGTCAACTGTGTACGTTTTGCGCCCCTGATGCACATACGTTTAAAGCATGGCCTGCCTGCATACACCTGGGGTGCCTGTTCCACGGGGGATTTCACCCTGCTGCGGTGTAGTGAACTTTGGCATTTCCCGCTGGTTTCCTTCTGAAACAACAATTATAGAAGCAGTATACAAAAACATATTCTAAACAATCAGGAATCATGGTGGCTGTGTCAAAACCAGAACCCCAATTTGGGCAGGGTTTCAGCACCGAAGTGAACCAAACCAAAAATCTGGCAGGGGCCCTGGCATTTTGTGGGGACAACGACAAACATATTCCGGGCCCCTCAGATTCCCGACTAAAAGTCTAACTTTTAGTGGGTTAAGTTCGGAAACTACCACTAACCGCTAAAAAGATCTAAAAGCCACCAAGTATTCATTTCAGCACATAGAAGTATTACATCTCTGTCCTTCAGGCGCTGGTTCTCGGACTTCAGCACGACGCCCACTCCTTCCACGCCCATGACGTGCGGCAAGGCGAGGTCGCTGAAAGCGCCGCAGCAGTGGAACCTGAGCACCCGGTGACCCGTTCGGTGACCCGTTCTGAGCCATCCCAGCGAGTGGGCCGTTCAGATACCAAAAAAGCGGCCCCGTTCTGGGGTTGACCACGTTTACTCGGGAAGACACCGAGCTTTGGCAGGAAACACAGGTGCCGCTGAGCATGATCAAAACATGGCATGGGATTCAAAAGGAGCCAACTAACTTCCATTTGCTTAACCCCCTGAGAAACAACAAACAACTATTGCCAGTAGTGAAATTGATTCCATTAAACCAACCAACAGACAAAAATAACACATATTATTCATTTCAGCAAATGGAAGTCAACACTCAACAGAGCTGTTGTTGGTCGCAACTATGGTTGGGATTGCTCTTCGGATAGAACAAGAGGCATATCGCCGTCCATGGGCTGCACGCTGCTGTACTCCACCTCCACGAGAAACTCCCCTGGCTGGAGCCTCTCATCCTGCCACACCGCGCGAAGCTCCAGCTGCCCAGGGTGCACCAGCGTCAGCGCCAAGGACTTGGTCGACATGAGCTGACGATTTCTCTGAGCCGAAGATTTGCACGCAGGTGCGACAGTCGTCGCAAATTGGATCGGCTAGGGCTTGCGATATTTCTCCAACTCACAGCCCAAACCGCGATGAGAAACAACCAGCAACATCGAATCATGAGAAAGCCTGCCGTGTTGTGCTGAAACACCTTGGTCAACCTCAATTGGTCGACTGCAGTACATATAATTCCCTGCAACACCAATTCTAGATCTTTCAAGGGGGACCTGAGAGAACCCTCTGGGTTTGGGTCATTGGAATTAAACAATACATGGCTGTGAATGTCAAAAATAGGGCAATCCCCAAATGAGTTGCCCTGGTAAATGGAAAGCACTGAAACCTGCGGCCCAATTTTTAACAGACCCCAGGGAGAAGTGTTCAACACGCGACCAGCGCACTCGCGGGCGGGGCGGGGATTCGCACTCGCGGAGCAAAGGACCCGCTTGGGACCAGTTGAAGCTGTTGGCATGGGGCTGCCTCGGCGGATGCTCGACATGCCGCAAAGGAGTATAGAGGTTTTAAGTGACACATAATATGTATATAAATATACATGTATATATATGTACATGTAGGGATACACATAGAAAGGTTTTAAGTGATACATAATGTACATGTACTAGGTCCTCCAGATTTGAGAGCTTAGAATAAGTTGGTACCTTTTCTTTCTTCTGTAGTCTATTTTAGCAGGGGAACCCTGCCAACCAGAAAAGGGGTGAGAAAGGGCACTACTGGGGGACCTAGTCAAAATGCTGGGGTTCGTGTTGGGTTCCCAAACCAATTTGAAAAGGGCCTCAAACAAAAAATATGTGGCAAAAAAACCAAGCGGCCGAGTGTGCTTGGCCCAAGAATCAATCCAAATCTCAGGGTTGTTTACATGTTCTATTGAGGGATCAGTGATCATCCAATCCAAAAAAAAAAGGCGTTCTGGCCGTGGCACATACAACTGGAGAGAAAGAACCACTCAGAACCACTTCCGCAATATTCGATTGTCTCCCACTTCCGCGTCTGCGGCATGGGCAATCTTCCAAAGACCCTGGCTTTGGCTCCCTTCCTCGCGAGTTGCTATGCCTTCCGTCCGGAAGCTCGGTTTTAGTGCGCGGCTGACTGCCGGACTTGGCCAGGCCACCGCCAAGTCAAACTTGGGGTCTGGTGCAATCAAGTTTCTCGCATTTTACATGAGAAAAAATATATCATATACTTTTGTCTTAGGTGAAACCCTCCTGATCTAAACCCTACTGATCTGGGCCTGAAATTTCGGTCAATGACTGTTGGCACATCTGCGGCGAACAGTGAACTTCGAAAACCCAACCTCATGCGTGAGGCGCCATAGTCGCCCGGACATGAGTGTCGTTTCACCCTGCTCCTTTGACGGTTGTGGCGTGTATGACCTTGGCACGAAACATGTTTATCTGGAGTCAAAGATCTTCCAGGAAACGGTTTGCATGTGGCGAATGTGTAGATCCACCCCACTAGGATATCAAAAGAGTACTATAAACAATTACCTTAAAAAGAACCAGCGGGAAGAAAATTCGGTGAACTCCACAACAAGCGCAAATCCAAATCGTTTTCTTGAGACCCAAGTGGAAGGTGTTCAAAGCAGGGGCCCCGGCCCCGAGCCGAGAGGAAGAAGCACTCTGGGTGTGGCCTCAGAACATTTTTTTGCCGCGGCGTTGGCCGCTTCCATGCTAGTGCTACCTCCTCCATTCTTTCCAGGGATCCTTCTTTCTGGAAAGCCTCCGGAAACCGGGGTCAACGGCCGGTTGCGAAAAGAAGGACGGTTGAAAATGGGGAAACAACCCCCAGGTCCATGGTGATTCCCGCATCCCATGAGCCAGGCTCACTCCGCTTCCTTGCCAACCATCAACCGGCATGCATCTTTTTGAGCCGACGGAACATGGGAAAGGGAAACCAAGCTGGTGACTGTAGCCAAGCCAAACTGGATGCATTGAAAAAGGTTTAGATCGGGGAGCATGGGCTTGTCGGAAGCCGCCGTTGTGCGCGGTGCTCGCCCAGCCAGGCCCATGCTGGCTCGTGACTTGTGTTGTGCGCGTGTGCTCTGTGTTTGCTTCGGCTTCAACCACTTTACATCATCCCGTGGCGGCTTGCCTGCAATCCCCCAAGTTGAGGCCAACACGGCTCTCTGTGTGACCAATATGTCCAGCCGAGTGCTTTAGCCTTGTCCCTTTGCTGTTCCCAAATGATTTCAAGCCCAGGTAGTATCCCAACAGCATCCCCCGAACCCTTCTGAAACCCTTTTTTTGCCGCCGCTGCGAAGCACTCCGGAGCCTGGTCAAAGACCCCAAAGCTTGGGAAACAAAAAAAGCTTTCTTCGGGCCCTCCTTGCCAAATCAAAGGAAGGAACACCCCGAATGCGGAATCATTCTTTGGGACCCCTTGCGAAAAACGCACCAAAACACCTGAACTTGCCACGGAGGCTGCACCATTCGACATGAGCTCAAAACCCACTTCGCACCAGTTGGAAGGGATGACGTCCATTTGCCCAAGCCGCCCGGGAAAACAAAACCCAATTTTAGTAGTGACCGATCCCTTTTTAAACCAACAGGGGACACAAACAAACATACATATATATATATATATATATATGTATATATATATACATCGATTCAGTTCAGCAAACCAACAATAAACTTGACGCCCCCCCCCAAAAAAAAAAAACAACAACAACAAAAACAAACGGAGAAACAAAAAAAACAACTGGTTGGTAAAACAAAAACTGGTGGCGTTTTGCCGCGGGATTTCCTCCGAGGAATCCTCCGACTCCGAGGCGTCCCGGCGCTTCCGAAGGCCAGGACCGCGTATTCCCCCACCTCCAGCTGGGCCAGCGCCTGGCTTCACCCGATATGAGCTGAAGCAAGGACACGTAATATATATATATATATGTGTATATTATGTGTATATATGTATTATGTGTATATATGTATAGGTATATGTAGGTGTATATATATATATATATATATGTATGAGTATATATATATATATATATTTATATGTATATATATATAAATGTAGATTTGTATATAATATATATATATATATATATATAAGTATAGAGGTTTTAAGTGACACATAATATGTATATATATATATATATATATGTGTATAGTATATATATATATGTATATGTATATATATATACATATATGTATATATATATATATATGTATGTACATGTAGGGATACAAATAGAAAGGTTTTAAGTGACACATAATGTACATGTACTAGGTCCTTCAGTGGAGAGGATAGAATAAGGGTACCAAGTTTTTGCTGTGGTCTATTTTAGTAGGGGAACCCTCCCAACCAAAAAAGGGTGAGAAAAGGCAGGACTGGGGAACCTAGTGTCGGTATATAAGTAGAGAAGTTTAAAGTGACATAGACATTCGGAAGAGTTGCTTTAGACAAGAGCCAAAGTCTTCTCCTGGCTGAAGCTTGCCGTAGCGCCCCTATGGAACAAAACATATTCTCGACGCATTAATGTTGGACACGCTTTAATGGCAGTAGCCTGTATTGTGTAAAGTTGTGTTTCCTTATCCTAAGACTGGTTCCACTGTTGAGGGGGGGGGGGTCACATTCAAGCAGGTCCAACACTAACTTGGGTGATGCTGGAGGTCTCAAAGAATGCCCCCTGAAGCTTGATCATCTTGTGGATCATCTCTTTGACGATGACGTGCCCTTCGAAGAATTTTGGCGCTCTGCCCCGGACCAGAGGAGTTCCCCAAACTCCAAGGCTTCCCCATGGACAAACTCCACCTGGAATGGACACTGTGATGCTGGGTTAAGCCGCCTACTCCTGCAGGTTTGTAGGTGTCCTTTTGGCAAAAAGACGGCCCTGGTACATGGACTAAAACCAATTCTAAATTAGTGGAACCCATCTACCAACCAGACCAACCTAAAGCGGACACCTACTAGGTCCTCCTGCAGCCCTTTTTCTGTAGTCTACGTTAGTAGGGGAACCCTCCCCCAAAAAAAGGGTGATAAAGGGCACTTCTGAAAATATAATAGGTAAGCCTAGAATACGTGTTGGTCCATTTCGGTATTCTGGGGGACCTAGCGTCTCTAATAGGTGTCCAGGTCCATTTTTCCGTTCCTCAATCAGGGGATGTGATCAACTTGCCTGACTAAGCTGCCTTGCCTGGCAGAGCACGCAGAGCGTCTGCAGTGCCATAGGCCCCACGCCTTGCTCTTTCCTCGTCAAGGCGCGCCGAGGAAAACCTCACTTACTGTAACTCGGTTGCTTTCTGCTTCCCTGCTAAAAGTGAATGACTTTTAATGGTTTAGTGGAAAACCCATTAGTTGGCAAAAAGTTAAAGTCCTAACAGCCAAGCAAAATGCACCAAAGGTAAATCAACGACACTACCCTCCTACCAAGGGGGAGGGGGTAGGGGGTCCCCCGATTCCATTTATCGAGTCTTCCCCATGAAAGGGAAAATGGAACTATGAATGGAGTTCCAGGGGTCACCCCGCTCCCCCACCCCCAGTTTTTAAGGGGGCGGGGATACGACGCCTGTCTCGATGGAACTCGGCTGCCCGTTTCAGATTCCTGCGAAAAGCAACCGACTTTTAGTGGGTCGAATTCGGAAACTACGACTAAACCAACCAAAACCTAAAATGCTATGGAGCGCGATGGCCAGGGGCCACCATGGGACACCACGAAATCATGCTCATGTTGTTTATTTAATGCCGTGCTCTTATATTTTGCATATTGTATATTACACATTGTGACAACAAACATCAGATTTAGCACACCGTGTCAAGAAACAACAAAACAAAGCTGTCCTGGAAAGACGGCAAGCCGCCAAGCAAAGGGGTGGCAAATGACAGCTCGCCGAGCATTCAAGGAGAAACATGCCCAGCTTCTCTCCCAATGACCCAGGCAGTTGGCTCAAAGTTCCATAGTCTCAAGGCTGAAAACGCAACTGTCACAGAATGTTGCGAGGCCTGAGCGCAACACATGCTTCGAGAGTTG